ATCTAAATGAGTAGGTAACAGTTTAAGAAATAGAAGGGAATATCTAAGGCCATGCATTTTTCTTCCTGTGATACAGACACTTAAGTGACTCGTGGAAATCATCACCCTTCATCTACCAGGAAGCGATGCACATATATGTAAACCCCAGCCTACCACAATTCCCACTTGTTTTGCCTTCTTTCTGTGCATGCATGCATGGAGCTTATGTTGTCATATTTCCTAATTTTCTTCCTTTGTTAATTCTGGCTTTTTGCTTCTTTTAGGAATAAAGAAGAAAACTTCTGGGAACAAAGATGATCTATTCACTTCTTAACATTGGGAAAGGAAGAGCAAGACTATGGACAGCTGAAACTGAGAATTTCCAGTTTAATGGAAAATTCTGATACTCCGATTATTCTGAATCAGAACAAACTATTTCAAAATTTTCCACAAAACTGAAATTAAAAACTAAAAAGTTGCTTTCAAAAATGTTGAAACACATCATGTTTCAGCTTTTTAGGTCTTTTTTAATGCTATATTTCATATTTTATATTTTTGTTTTACCAGTCAAAATAACTCATCATCTCATGCCACTTAATAATAATTGTCATCTGCATAATATAATTAAAATCATAAGTATTTAAATAATGAAAAATATATCCAATAGTTGATGTATATTTTGTTTGAGTAAGAAAATAAGGTCATTATTTGGCTCTATATTATTTTTAGCAGCAGTTGTTTTTAAAACCTTCTAGAAGTGGAAAAGAGAATACTAATACAGAGATATTCAAACTGGTAGCTACTTAAACATATACCATAAATTAAAATTATATAGTACTTCATTACATTCATCACAGCATTCCAACCACACACTTTCTCTGTATTTGAGTTTCAAGCAATGAAGTCCTTGCATTCTTATGATCTGAGCAAAGCCATTATTCCTACTCCACACAATGAAAGTACTGAGTTCTTTCAATTTACAAGTCCATGGATTAATTCTGACCTGTTATTAACACCAATTGTTTCTAGCACTACTACCTATAAGCAATAGTTCAGCACTGAGTTTCTCATGCATCCACCCTGCTGTTTAAACATTTTTCTTGATCAGCAAATATGGGAGGTTTTGATTTACTTGATCCTCATTTTATCATGAAACTTGCACTTTCCCCATTTTGTTCAAGGGAGAAACTGCTTTTCAGGGCACTGTTTTCTCCTTGGTGTCTCTTCAATATTGGCAGTGTAATGACAGCTCAAGTTGCATTCCCCCATCCAACCCATCAAATTTGTTACTTGTTTTTCATGCTACTTAGACCACCATAAGAAAAATGTTTATTTTTTGGTTTTGTTTTTAAACAGTCCATGAACTCCAATGAATTAGTAAAATTATTTATTTCTTGATTTCCCGAGTTTTAACTTGATGAAAGGAATTTTCCACCATATACTCGACTTATCACTAACTTCAGCAAAACATTCTATACTAATAAAATATGCCCTTTCACCCCTTTCTCCAAAGTTGTTTCCTAGAAAAGGAAGCCAAACTTCTCCAATAGTAAACACATAATATTTTTCAAATAATTCACTAGAGACTATAAGAGCTAAACAATCATTTGTGTGTTTCAGGAAATAATACTAACATTGTAAATAACATTTTGTCTTATCCAAAAGTAAGCAAGATGATTTATGAAACAAATAAAAAGAGACAGCTCCAAACCAAAAAAGCTTAAGCTGGAGGCTAAGCAAAGGAAAATAAGGAAAATATACACTCAGACCATGCTGAAATCCAATGGAAATTGTCATGTTCTCCACTTTAAAACCTCTTCACAAATGGATCACAAAAATAGTAAATGGCAGAAGACAGAGTATCTCTATTTATGAAGAAGCCAAAGGTAATTCTAAGGCCAAAGACTGCACTTAAAAGAATCCCAGATCAGCCTGCCAAAAGAAGGCCTTATGGTGGGGTTCAGTTACCTGCAGGTGCTGAAGGCCATTTGAGATGCCCTAAAGTATGCAAGATATCTATATGAGGTCAGCAGCTAGGACACAGAGACTTACGGGAAACAAGTATCACTCTGTAGTGGAAGCTGGGGGCAAGGAGGATATCCCGCAGCACTAAAAATGACACTAGTTGCCTAGATTTAGTCAAATTAAGAGTGTCTTAAATGTCTAATATTGTGATTGGGATCTCAAAAGAAAAAAAGGACATGAAAAATACAGTTCCCATTGGCCCAATGAACTGAATTCTATAAACTGTCTTCTATAAAGTGGAGTTGTCCCCAGAAAAACTGACGCATGAGCTTTACATCCTTAGGGTGTTAGTGATCTCATAGGAGTATTACAGTGCCAAAGATGAGGATCAGAACACATAAATTCCTAAATATCTTATTATCTATCTCACACATTTCATATATCTTTGTGGCTATTATATCACTGCAGATTATACTTAGGAACCCAAACAAAGATATATAGGCTATTGCTTTTTAATGTTGAATTGTTATACACATTCCAATTAAATATTTTTTTCTGACCTGGATATCTTCTGTGAGCATTTTGATGGCTACCATACACTCTGTAGTTTACAGGTGCATTTTATTCAAGAGAATGTATGCAACGGCATAAGCACTCAATCATAAAGTAGTTATTGTAGAGTACTTTATTCTAAATGTTTTATAAAGTAAAAGCTATTACATTTAACAAAAGAGAAATGAACAAATTTCCATTATTTAACAGGCTGCTACACTGACTGGAATATTATCACCAGAATAGAAGCCATATTTTAGGAAAGCAGTGATTCCCAGGTCAATATGTCCTGAGGAACATTATCTAGAAAAAAATGGAATTACTTGTTAGTGAGGAAAAGCACTTCACTAACAGTAGTCTATAAATTACTACCAAAAAACCTTTCTTGAAACTATTTTGTTTTCTTGCCTTTTCACAACACCCCTTTAAAACAAGAACTAAAAGCAGCAAATGAAATGCATCAGAGACTTAGGCTGATCAGGTGGAATGAGGATAGGTGTTCAGAATGGCTCCATGAAACAGGATTAGCAGTTGTGTAGAGACACCATGATTCTCTGGCTGGCTAGCCTGAACACTAAAGTTTGCATCTTCTACTGCATGCTGCTCTCATGACCAAGATAGGCCTGGGGAAACCTGGGAGAAAGCAAGCAGTGAGGAGTGAAATGAGGGCTTGAAGCTCAGGCAGTGGGAAAGCGATGAATGAGTGGATTCCTTCTGTTATTTAGGAAGAAGAAGGCATAAGTATGTGCACCCATCTGTAGTACTGTGAAAGTAAAAAATAAAGAATATCAGAGCTTTGATAATTTGTCTTCCCACATTCTTCTATTAGGCTGGTGAAATAAGGGATACATGTGCTACATGTTGCAGCAGGCTACATCAAGCTATGTATAGAATGGCTCCACTCTTCAATGACTTCTGAAATACAGATGGAAGAATAAAACAGCAGAATATTAAAATACAGTACCTACAATAGAAATGTGCTTAAGAATACTTGAAACATTGGTATTATCTGAACTAAACAAATTTACTTCAAAGCCCCCGTGATTCTGCCATTATGCTACATTAGAAGAAATCCTTTCCAAAGATTAATCAGCTTAGCTAAATATACACCATTTAAAACTATACAGAGCAGAGTATTAGTCATTTACAGAGGATACAAAAATCTAAATGTGCCCTTTCTGCCTGGCAAGCACCATATAGTTCAAGGTGGATCTGAAAACTGAGAAGGGACCTGGGCCAACATGATCTCAATTGTTATTTTCAATAATAAAGTACAGCTAGCACTTCAGCATGCAACTCTCAAGTGGTAAGGGACAGGGACAAAATGCAATGTTCTGAAACAGCTTTTATGGAAAGCATGCACTGTTTGTGACATGTATTTGGTCTCTGGAGCTGCAGTCTTATTTATTCCTCTACTTTTAAATGCCATCTTCCAAAACCAAAGGCTAACAAGTACAAATTGTATCTATAAAACAGCATCACAACTTTATTCTTAATAGCTAACTATTGAAATGCAAGCATACATTATAAATAGAAAAACAGCTGGCTTGGAGCAAATTGCAAGCCACTAACACAGTTGAGGGATTTGAATGACATCATAACCCTTGAGAGCATGTTGCTGGCCAGCTGGTGTTATTTATAATATACTCATAATTGAGGAAAAAATAAAAAGGCAAAAGTTAGGTATTTCAGAAGTAACAAAGTTGAATTCTCTCTTTCCCAGTGTAATTTAAATTTTTATCAAGAGTAATTATGTAGATTACTGCTAAAAAGGGGGGAAATCACTATAATTACAACAGCACATTTACCACAAATGTCATGGAAGCCCCCCACACTGGGCTACTTCTGTTCCTGTATTCATAGCACTGCAAATTCTAGGATATAATACGTCTTCTCCTGTGTGGTTGTTAAAAGATCACAAAGCTGTTTTTCCCTATTTACAACTAGTGCTCAACAATTCTGTTATTTTTAGCAAATTACAAACTGCTATTTTAGGGTTAATAGCACTGAGAGTTGGAGGTTTTAATTGTTACTCAGCATATAGGTTTGCCAAGTTTAATAATGTAAAGATGTATTAAGAAAAAAGTATATAACCAACTGCCTGTCTTTCTATACTATATAAATAAAATACCTGTGCCTGTATGCATCAAGTAAATGAGTACATGTATACAAAGGTATGCATATATGCAAACAATGCCCTTACGTATATAAACTTTTACATATTTTAAATGCAGACGCACACAGACAGATAAATACAAATGCAAACATAGCTATCTGATACTTAACCAGAATACATTTACTTATTTTTCATGGCAGCACAAGCTTTTTTTTGTCTGCTAACCCTCAGTCACTAATTCACATTCTTGTAAAGGGAAAAAAATATGCTTCTGTGCTCTAGTTTTAAAATGCAAAGGTATGATGTTATTTGTCACCATGCCCAAAAAAGTCCTTACTCGGTAACTTTGCCAGAAGAGGGAGAGAGAGAGAAGGCAAATGCTCCCCCAGCTGTTTCCTGTCTACAGTGTCTGTGTAATGTAGATAAATGTGAGGATTTTCTCTAAATCCCTCTTCTGTTTGCTAAATCTCACTGTCACTGCTAAAATCAGAGCAGATAGAGCCTGCGCAATGGAATAAAGTCCTCAATATTGAAATGTGACATTGCTCTCAACATCTCACATCTCTCTGGATTTCTTTTTTCTCATCATTACTGCTAACAAATTCATTTCCAGACTTTGCACTTTTAAGAAGCAATGGAAAAAATCAACAGTCTTTCAACACAATTAGTTAAGTGCTGCTTGTGTGATTTCTTGAAGGTAAATCTTTATTACTATTTCAAATAATTTTTTAGTTTTATTTTACTGTGTATTGTCTGCTTCTGGTTTGAAGAGTATTGTGCACTTTTCAATAACATTATTTTAGAACTGCGAATTATTTATAAATTGCTGAACATGCAATTTTATGTGATATGGAAAATGGCTGTATGTAATAGTTGCAGTTACATAGATAACTGTAAGGGTAAATTATTGCAAATACATGTCGATTTTCACTTCTATTCAGAGAACTTTGCAATATTTCAGTTATGTCATTATTAAGAGGTCCAATTACATCATTGTCTATATTGTTAATTAATGCTTCTGAAAACAAGAACTTTTAGCTGTTTTCTGCAGGTGCAGGGTTTTATATGAAAAAAGGTATTATTCACATGATAAGTTTCTGCAGTTTTATTACACACAATGATAGATAAAATGTTCATGCTTTCACAGGGAAACTTTCAAGGGATCTTGTCACTGCAGCAATTTTCTGGCAGGACTGAAACATTTACTTGCTTTTTGCTTTCATAAATAAAAAGTAAATGTGAAGTTCAGTTTGTTTTCTACATTAGAAACCAGCTGCGACTCTTGCTGACCTTGCATATTTGTATAGCTTAAGCAATTGTACATAAAGAAAATGGAAATTCCCCTACATGTTCATCTCCAAGTTTTCCCTTCTAGGGAGGGCTGTTTCAGGAAAGTTTGCATGTGAAGTTTCATGTTATGACCCTGTAATTTCTACACATTAGTATAAGCTGTCTTTAAGTGAATTTGGCTTCAGTAGGTCCACTGACCTCTGTTTCTGTAAATTGGCCCTATTTCAACTTTCCATTATCAGCAAATTTATACCCTTCAAGAACTTTTTTCTTTATTATTTTGCAAGGACACTTATGCAGCTGACAGAATTCTGTTTTAATTGTTTAGGGCCTAATTATTTTTTTTTTAGAGTGTCTTATACTTAAAACACAGCTCATTCCTTAATGTGATTCAAAACACCAGGTCTGTAATTGCTATGGATGAAACCATTCTCTTAATGTATAAATGGGCATCCCTTCCAATATACTTGAAAGATGATTTTTTTAAGTATTGAGCAAGGCACTAAGAGACATAAAAGTAATGTGCTAGCTCCTCAGCTGGTACATCCTGCCAAGCTTCCTTGGAATCAATGGAACATATTGATTTAGGTTAGGAAGTAGCTCAGATACTTTAATCAAAGTTAGAAGTATTTAAATCTTGATCCATTCTAAAGTATATCTATGTTCAATTCGTATAATAATTACTAGTGAATACTGTTATTACATACTAATTACATACTTCTACTATGGTTTGGTTAATAGGTCCAACCTCTATATAGCAAAATGTAATTTTGAATATAACTCTTGATTTTTTATCTATAGCATATACTATCCATAAAAATGTTACCCCTTCAGGATATTTATAGTTATTGTGGATGTTCTTATTAAAATTATCAAAGATGTGAAGAATTCTTATGCACAACTTTTGACAGCTGATAGTTTGTTAGCCAAAGAGGACTTACACAGGACAATTAAAAAGTAAAAGAGATGTAGAGTATTCATATATGACATTCCTCTGTGGTGCCACTCTTCTGGACTATTAAAAGAGGAATGCAGCAAAAGCTGGTTATTTTATTGAAAAAAAGAGGAAATTCCAGCTGTGAAAATATGGTCAGTCATTCTATGCAACTGAAAGAAGTGCTTAACCAGGCTCATCCTGAACCTGTATTCAATTTCCAAATGTAATTAGATGCTTCTATAAACCCCACCCACATGCCAAAGCATTTTCTTTTAAACTCTCAACTTTCTAGTCAAATCTGGGACATTGCAAGCACCCTGCCTGTTTGTAAAGAACCTGAAGCAATATTGGATTACAACTTTGTATTTTCTTAAGAATATTCCCCTCAGACATAAATGGGAAATTTGAATCGACCAATGTTATGCTTAATTAAAATGATGAAGTAAAGTTAAAGTTTTAAACTATGTTCTGGATTTAGTTTTGATGAAACAGCACTCAATTTAAGAAATAATTGATTGAACCCTAGAAACATGTGAGTCTGTTTTCTTTTCCCCAAAGTTTTTACTTGCTTGAAAGTTCTTAACTGTTGTTAAATTTGGAGATAAAGTTAGAAATTCTCTGTGGTTTATACTGTGCAGCCTTCTTGGCTTCCACTAAAGGAAAAACAGTAGATAATCTGTTTTGTTGTAGTTTGGTGCTGATATTTATCTGAAAATGCAAGCCAGCTGAAAAGTCTTGAAAAATACAAAATTGTTAAATGTCTAAGATTTATGTTTGTTTCTGGCCCAAATGTTACACAAGAACAAAGTGTTAAATACATAGCGTTCTTGTATTTGTAATGTCTTCCAGCATTCTGAGGCGTGTGTGAATAGCTTTCTGCTTTACCTCTTCAGAACTGGGAACTATCTTAAAGTGCAGGTGCATCACATCTATCTTAAAAATTCAAAAATATGGCAAGGATAAAAAGACATTGATGCTATTAAATATGGTATCATTACAGGAAATAATGCCTTGAGTTATTGTCATTCATTTATAATCTGATCTTTCTCCATCTGCCATTGAAGTCATGTCCATGCATTAAACCTTGGTGGTTTGTGCTTGGTAAAGTTGGCTAAAGACTCTTGCGAATAGGAAAATAATTATTCTTCTTTTTATGCTATATCATGGGATTTAGATTTGTTCATTATTGTCACAGTGGAAATATCAGGAAAAAAAGGGGGATAAATTCTGATTTATTTATAGATTTGTCTCTTATTCAGCTTTGACTTAAGTTGGAATAGGGGACTCATCCAGCAAAGTGCTAAGATCCTTTGCCAAGAAAACAAGGATTCTTAAAAATTATTAACTAGAGAAGGCTCAATACCCGACTGGATCAGATCCCATATGAGCAGACAATAGATAATTTCATTGTTTTTTTCAAAAATTCAGTATAAAAAGTAATATTAAATGGTCCCTTAAACCCTGAAAGAAACTTCAGGGAAGATTAATCATTTTACTCCAATTACTTAACACTAGTCTGCTAATACAAAGCACTTTTAAGCCAAGGTTAACTGCATGTGCAAGAAAGATATGTAGCTTCTTACCTGATTGTACTACTAATGTTAACCTTGACAGAGAATAAAATTTACATCTTTTAAAACTAGCATTTTTGGCAAGTGATCTAAATCAGTTCAGGACCTGCATTAAGCACATTCTTCACTGTCCTGCTACTAAATATAAATAGCTTTTCCTGGTCTTTAAAAAAAAGACCATGTCAAAAGATCTTTGACATTTTGGATGTGATCTTTGGTGGATATAAATTGATATAAAAAGGAGTGCATAAATGGAATGGTGCAAATTTACACCCATTAAGGACTGGCCTTTCTTCAATCAAAAGTCTAGGAAAAAGATAGTTTGTAACCAAATGTAAATGAGGAAAGACTTATCACCTCTGTGTATACCTCATACCCAAACCTAAGAGGATATAATGAAGGTCGGTGAAAGTATAGCTGCTTCCATCAAGTGAAAATACAAACACTCCCACTAGTGATTCTCTTAATTTCCTGAATGCTTCCAAATATTAACTTGCTAGTAACAGAGGACTGTAAGAATTGTGGAATGTGGTCCCCTACTATGGAACTTCTGTAACTTTGGCAGAGCTTAACTTGAAACTTTTGCTTTTTCTTGATATTTCCCTTTTTAAGGTGGCTGGAGAACCATGGAGAACTAATTATGAACCCTTTTCCTACTGGGCCAAATTTCCTTGCATCCTCTTTACAGCCATTTATTCTTGTGCCAGTGCTCGCTCTTTAGTTTAAATAGCTTTTCTCTGTCATATACCACCACCATCTCCCAGTACATTAGCAAGCAACCGTCATATTCTCTCTCAGCCTATCTGGTCTCAGACAAAATAAATCAATGTTGTCTAGTCTTCCTTACTGTTATTATTCTGGGCTTCCTTTCACCCATCCATTGTACTCTTCCATCCCCTCTTTTTCCAGGAGCAACCATAAATCATAGTTACTACAAGGTTCTATAACTATGTGTGAATGTGAACCAAGAATATTCACCATAGGAAATAATTTGTTTACAAACTACATGGACTAGAATGTGCGGACAGTTGCAAAATTATGGTGAGGCATTTCCTGATACTGTGTTTATTGTTTAACAAATTACAGTACATATGCATTCTCAACTCACAAGGGTGCAGCAGGCATTCTCTTTAGGCCTCTGTTGGGAAATTCTAACACTGCTTTTGCTTCCTTGGCAGGTGAAGATGCACACTGTGTCCTACATCCATTTCTTCTACCTTGGCCTGTGTTTGCTTACCTTAACCAGTTCTGCTGCTGCTGGCCCAGAAACACTCTGTGGTGCCGAGCTAGTTGATGCTCTTCAGTTTGTGTGTGGAGACAGAGGGTTTTACTTCAGTAAGTCAACCCTTTCTTTCATTCAGCTGCTAGCTTTGCAATGTAATACACTGGGGTTTGCAACTGCTCTACGAGCTTAGAAATGATCAAACCAAGCTCCAAGTATGACTAGTATCCTCTATCTTGGAGATGCCAAGATCTTCAGTGACCAGTTAAATCCAGGTGAAGGGAAATTCATGCATGCCGAGATAATAAAAATTAACACCAGCACAGTCAACAGATAAAATTAAGTCTACAACAGTGTGGATATATTAGTACTCAAATTCCTTTTTGGAGCAAGACCTACATTTTGCAACTGAACAGTGCAATATTTTTCCTTTGCTGTGTTTTAGATTGTGCAAATCTGGAGTAGTTATATAAGTAACTATTATCTTAATATCTTGCAAGTGCTGTCAAGATTGAGAAATACACAACTTTTAAATAACAGAAAACTATTTCTAATTTTCAGCTATTTGCTACTCAAATAACATAAAGTTAATGAAAATTTTAGCTAGGAATATATGAATTCTGAATTCATTCCTTAATATGTTTATTCAAAACATGAAAAAAATTATGCTTTTAGAGCCTCTGAAGCTAATGTTTACTCTTAATTATATTATGTGCTTGTATGAAGTTCTTGTCTGACGTTACTTCTCCTTCTGGGCCTCAGTTACTGTTCTAAACAAGAATATAACGAAGAAAAGGAAATATGAGGTGGTTAGGCTACAAAGACAAGAAATTGACTGAAGGTTTTTTGTTTGGTGTTTTTTTTGGGGGAAGGGGTTGTTTGGTTTGTTGGGGGTTTGTTTATTTTTATATTCTTTCTGCTGTCTAGTTATTTTTTTTCTTTTTTTTTTAATCCTCATTTTATCCTAATACTTCCTGCCTTCTAAGCTATCATGTTTGTTTTTCTGATCTTACCCACCCCCATTCTTACTAATTTCTATTCATAGGATATTTGCTTTTGATATTTTTCTCCTTGCTTGAAATAAAAATATAAATCCAGATTCTTACACCTTTAATTTACAGAAAATACTGATTTCCTCAACATACAAGCTGCAGACATTTCCACTGTCTTCGTGGCACTTTCTATTAAAGTTCGCCTTTGAAATTGGCAGCCTACTTTTCATATATGCAAAGTAATTCACTAAAGAACCCTTCTTTTCTGTATTTAACAATTTAGCTATCATTCGTGAGCGTCTAGTTTAGGTTGTGTTTAACTTAGCATTCTAGTGCTAACCACAAGATTAAAAATAGTGAAATCTCTCATAAAAGAATTAATTTTTTTCTACCAACTCTTTATGTGTTTGTTTAAACATCCAAATCCCTTATGTTTATCAGTAGTTGAGTTACGCTTAAGGGGCTATTTGAGAGTCATACAAACACTTGCTCTGCATGGCTGGAAGAAATGTAAAGGAAGACTTTCATCTCCCCCACCTGTTTCTGCAGAAGAAAATAATGAGACAATATACTCCATCCTTAGAATAGCATAACAATTGGATTTTTACTGTGCGTGTATCCAAAGGCATTTTCCCAGTCATGCCTCTCCTGGCAAAATGTTTGCTGCTTGTTCAGAGAACTATCACACTTGCTTACAAGAGTGGTTTTTACTGCCAAGCAATCAGACTTACTGTTATGTGTACTTTTTGTGTTCCTCAAGGTAAGAGGACATGTGAAATGCTAATAACCAGCAATAACCCCCTTTTCAATCTACCTCAGTTAGTCTAAGGTTGTATGATCTGTTTCAAATCTCTATATTCCCTGAGCCAAATCACCCTTACTTTAAAATACCAGGATGGGTTTCTGAAGTTTTAAAGATCTTTACCCTTGAAATCTTGAGTTTTATCTGCTGTCAGCAAAGAATTTCTCTCTAGTTTCCTTTGTTGTTTTCTAACATTCAAAGTTTTCATGTGAAATAATGTAACTGTTGACATGATAAAGGTCTACCTTGTTTTGTATGGAAGAATGTGGAAGGTTTTACTAATGAATGACCACTCTGTTTTGGGAAAGTCTTGAACTGTTGATTGATTGACTGTAATCAACAGATTACAACTGAAACATTCAACAGCAATTTTATGAAGTTGATATGTGGCCCTTGCATGCTAAGAAATGTGTGTCCTCTACGTGGCTAATTTTGATTCATGAGGCAGCAATTTAATCTTCTTAACCTTCTCCCTCATATTTGATAGTGTTAAATCTAAAATACAGAACTGTAGAAAAGTAAGTAAGTCCAGTAACATTGGTAAAACAACTTGAGATCCTCATATTAAATGTACTACAGAATGTAGCATATTATTGGAAGTTAAAAATGTTGCTCCATTTCTTGGGACTTTAAGAATCCCACATAATTTGCAGAAGTAAAAAAACACTGAAACTTTTTCTTTCATTGTGAAGAGGATGTCAGTTTAAATTGTATCTTTAGCTTTGTATTCTCATAGTCTGGTTCCTTTATACAAAGTGTGATTAACAGAAATGCTTGCCTTTAACTTGCACAGGAAATAGCTGTAAGGGAAGGTTTTTCTTCCATCATTCTGTATTTCACTAGAGACTACAATATAAAGAATACCTTTTGGCTGAGGTGGAACTCCTGGTTCAGATTCAAGGTCAAAGCTTCTGACTATTCCTTGGGAATTGTGGGTGGAAATGAATATAGAAATAATTGAGTTACTTTCTGTTGAAACTCTGTACTCCACAACCACAAAGCTATATCTATGGCTAGGACTGGAAGAAAAAAATTTCCTTTATATAGTCTACTCTGCCCAAGTTCCTAGGTATAAAAGGATATTCTTTACAGCTTCCGAAGAGATGTCCCAGCTGCTTACCACACAGAAATAAAAGTATTGACTTCAAGAGGAAGTCAAATGTGGTTTCTATCACTCGCTTTCTTCATGAGGTAGACTGGCAAGGAGCATTTCTCCAAGTTTTTTAGGGGACAACATTGTACAAATCCCAAAATGGGGCATCTGCTTTCTCCTTTAGCCACATGTAACCCCAGACAACACTGATTACTTGTTGGACAGCTTTTTCTTCCACATGATTCACCAGTGAAGAGCAGAGCGTTGCCATCTTTTATCCAGTAACACCTCTCTAGCAGAATTTGTGCCACTCAAGTTCCTGTGTGTTAGCTTCTGTTAGGAGAAGCCAACAGAGAGTCTGTCCAGAGATACACAAGTGGCTACACAGCTCTTCTCAATTAATGCTTCTCTGGTCTCAAAACCTCTGGATTCAATAGTCATGGAGCAAAGTGAGATGTCTGTTATGTTCATTTGAATTTGAATGCCTAAAAAGCTCTACCATGCCGCTGCTATTACAAAACAATGCTGAGGGCAGAGAATGTTAGAAAAACTGAAGTTACAAATTACAGGAAATTTACAGAAGCAATAGCCCAGGAGGGAGGAAATTTTCTTTGAAATAGTCTTGTCTTATCACAGGAATTTGAGTTTCTAGATTACTCAAAAAAACAACAAAAATAATAAACAAAAAAAACCCACAAAAAAAAATTAAACCAAACCAAAACAAACAAAAAAACCCAAAAGACACACACACACAAAGAAAAACCCACCAGATTTTTTTTTTTTTATTCATGCAAGTTGAATTTGATGGACAATAATTCATTCTTGCACATGTTGTTTCCTAAGGACTATTACTACCATGAGAAAGGAAAGCAAATTACAGATTTTTAGTACATTTTTTTTTCCACTAAGACAACCAGAACTGTGTGTTGTCCTTGGGAGTATCCCCAGCTGTGTACAACATAAGACTACTGGTTTATAATCATCAGAAAATTAGGATAGGACAGTGAACATAATTTTTGGTATTCAGAGCTGTCATCGAATCTCACTGCTTTGTAGAACTAAGGTATATATGGAGGATTTCATGCCTTGCAAAGCAGGAAATAAGCAGCATAGCACTAGGCAATTACTGCTTGCTTCTTCCATTTCCCTTTAGTTAATAGCTTCTTGTTTACTTCAGGAAGTCTGCTTTTAAGATGTTATTAAAGTTTCTAGGCCTGTCAAGCCTATCAACATAATTACAAGAGATGGCATGGCACTCAGTTCTGTAACTACTCCATACCTGTAGGAGCTATGAGTCATTAGCTCTCTGTGTCCCTGATTGAAAGGATTGTTAACGTTACAAGCCCAGGAGAGGCAAGCTGAAAAACTGCCATGGACACACACAGCCTGTGGTGTTAGTGACAATCTTACAAATCTCTGCAAAGAGATGTCGGTCATCTTGGCTATGTTCACACAGCAAGATATGACAGTGTTTTTAAGTTCCTTGGTCTGGCTACATGCCCATGCATGCCAAAATCTTGTATTCATTGATGGTTTGAGTGTACTCCTTTACCCCCAGTTTCTTTACTTCTTACAGGAAAGCTAGCCTAGAAAAGAGTTAAAATGTGCTTTAGCCAAGTCTGCAGGGTCAGTGCTCAGGGAACCAGAACTATAGGCACAGTTATTGATATACCTCTGTAAGTAAAAGGACAGCTCTAGCTTCTGGAATGGTATCACTGTATAGACAAATAAATGATTGCTAAGTTTGGTGTGTGGTCTTTTGCCCCTGGTGGTAATCATTGAGGAAGTTCTTAAAATAAACCAGTCTTTCAAAGAATTTTGTTGGTTTTTACCTCATTAAGAAAGGCTAGGGAATTTTCATAAAGGCTAACCTTAGTTTAGTGAGGTTAATCTTCTTAAGTTACCTCTTTAATAACAGAGAGAGAGATTCTGCCTTCTTTCTCTATGGATCACACAGAGTCTGGGAGGATTTAGCCTCTAAAACACACTAAATTTAGACTCTGCAAACAGGTCTCCTCTACAGCTAGTTCTCAGGTCACCAAGGATTTCATAATTTTTCAACCTTTTCATTAAGAGGGACTGTAGTAGTAATGATAATTTTAATGAGGTGATGGGGAGCAAACCATCGATCAAAATTTCAGCAAGAAAAAGCTCTGCAAAAAATGGCTACTACCAAAACCAAATTCTCCAGAAGTTTAATTTATGTGTCCCTATTAGCTGTTAGAT